GGGCGGGGGCAGCCTGCTTGACCAGCACGGCGCTGAACTCTGCCTTCTCCTCACGCTCGTGAGTGTGGCTGAGACAGCGCAGCTGTGCACTGAATGGAGCTGCTCTGTGGGCCCTGACTCTAAGTCAGTGGTTCTCAACCTTCCTGACGCCGCGGCCCTTTAATACAGCTCCTCGTGTTGTGGTGGCCCCCAACCATAACATTATTTTCGTTGCTACTTCATAACTGTAATTTTGCTACTGTTATGAATCGTCATGTAAATATCTGATATGCAGGATGTATTTTCATTGTTACACATTGAACATCAAGCATAGTGATGAATCACAAAAACAATATGTGATTATATACGTGTTTTCCGATGGTCTTAGGCGACCTCTGTGAAAGGGTCATTCGACCCCCAAAGGGGTTGCGACCCACAGGTTGAGAACCGCTGGTCTAAGTAGATTTAATGGCCCATGTACCAGCCATGTTCCCTGCAGGTCCCACCCGCAGGTCAAGGCCATCCCCACTAGAATATGTGCCCACGTGGACGAAAGGGGCCACGTGCTGACCTGACCAGCTCAGGGGAGGCCTGCGTGGCGGCCTTGCAAACTCAGAGACCTACAGTCACCACGAAGGGGGTCTGAGGGGAAAACTTTTTTGTTTTTTTAACTAAAAGCAGTTTCTGGTGGGGAGTCATGTCCTAAGGCAGTATTTTCCCCATAAGGGTTAATCCTCACCTTCACTAGGCCTGTTGTCTTTTTGCATCTAAGATAACATGGCTGATGAACATGCCTTTGCAAAAACAAAGTAATTTTCCTTCTTCCCCACCCTTCACAGCACAAGGCCCCTCATTGTTACTGAGTTAGTTGTTGACTGTGAACGATCGGGACCCACCCGAGTTAGAAGAAGTTCTATCCTTCACTCTTCACCCACCCCCAGAGGTTCCCCGGAATCTACACCCACGCATTTCATGGAACCGACTGAAATCTCCTCGGTTGTAATTTATAAAACAAGGTGAAACCTGCTTCCTGGCGACTGTGGACCGTTTGGCTCAAATAAACGCACACAGATTCTTTAAGGTTTGCGTGTTTCTCAGTTAACACAACGCCACTGTCTGCCGGTGGGTTTTGTGGTTGAAACTTGTATAAAGTGAGTCCGTCTAGAACATCATCCAGTGGGTGCTGGGGTGGCAAAGCCTCCCAAGGGGGGGGTGTCCATTCCTGGGGGTGACAGGCCCGTGGACGGGTGACTAGAGGAGCACAGCGAAGAGCCACACGGAGCCAACACCTCCTACATCCACGCAGTCGGTCAGACGCGCTGGAAGCTTCCAGAGGCTTCCGGCCGTGAGAGCCACTCACAGGCTCACTGAGCCAAGTACCCGTGACGCTCTGTGCTGGTTTGATCTACTTGCAAAATGAGAAAACAAAACAACAACCTTCCCTTTTTTTAAGACAACCACCGTGTTCCGGAACATTCTGTTTCTTCCAAGAAGCCAGGGGTCCAGGTGAGTGAGCACAGGTTAGTCCACATCTGGCTGCTCCCAGAGCACGGTCTGCAGTCTGCACTCCGAGAGGCGCTGTGGGATTTGACAGGACGCTGGTCATCGGCTTCTGATTGTGTGCAGATCAGGGCTGACCTCACCCAGCCCTGAGGTCCCACACCCAGGCCCCTGGCTCACAGGATTCCTACTCAGCAAATTCTTCTCTAAAACAAAAGGTAAACTACACGCTTTTTCCTTATTTTACTTTTTCCATCACCGTTTACCCCCCTACACCCTCTTCCACCTCCACCCACCCTCCTCCCCCTGCTCAGTAAATTCGTACCTGAATTTAATGTCTTCGATGCTGACCAAGCTTTAGGAAAGTGACTCGTCCTCCTTTATCGGCATTTCATAAAGACGGGCTGAGCATCTGAAGAGACGCTCACCGACGAGGGCACACCGATGCCAAGAGACACATGAAAAGATGCTCAACGGCCCTAGTCGCCAGAGAGCTGCCAACGAGAACCGCAGCGAGGTGCCACCTCACACCTGTCAGAACCGCCGCCCGCAATAAACCAACAAGCAAGTGCGGCGAGGATGTGGAGAAAAGGGAGCCCTCGTGCTCTGCTGGTGGGAGTGCGTGTGGCACAGCCCGGTGGAGAGCAGTATGGAGGTGCCACAGACTAAGTCATTCCACTGCTGGGTATTTATCCACAGAAAAGGTGTATGCACCCCTATGTTCATTGCAGCATTATCGGCAACAGCCAAGATATGGAAGCAACCTAGGTGCCCATCAACAGGTGAGTGGATAGAGAAGTGGTACTTATGTACAACGGGGTATTACACAGCAACAAAACAGAATGGAATCTTACCATTTCAATAACACGGATGGACCTAGCCAAGTGCCACGTGATTTCCCTTATACGTTGAATCTAAAAAACAAAACAAGACGATGATGAAGCAACAAAACAGAAGCAGGCTCACGGGTGCGGAGCTGATGGCTGCCGAAGGGGAGGGGGAACGTGAAAAAGAAAAATAACAGACAGGCCGACAGAAAACGATTTAAAACAACTACAAATCCTGGGCAGGACAGAGCAAACGAGAGTGCGAGGCCCTGGGAGCCGCCGGAGGTTGGGAGGAAAGGAGACTCGCCGGACGGGACCCCACAGCGTCCGCAGGGCCCCGGGCTGAGGCGCTGTCGGCTCGAGTGAAGCTGTGACACTGTGTTAGTGTCCATGAACGTGACTTCGGTCTCTACGTGGCATGATCAGTGTCAGCGAAGTTGTCTGTTTTCCCCCAGGTGAGGCCTGCTCTCCACAGCCGTCCACTCTACTGACTGCGTACAGTCAGTCCGTCCTAATCCAGCCGGGGGTGTCACCTGAACGCTGTGTGGGCGCAAAGGGGCCACACCCTCACCTGGCAGCTCAGGGGAGGCCTAAAGTAACCACACAGGATGGTCTGAAATGAAAACTTCACCCAAAAGCAATCATGGTGTGTTGTCACATCCTAGGCCGGCATCTTCTGTGATGAAGGTCAATCTTAACCTTAACTGAGCCTATTGTCTTTTTGCATCTACAACAATATCCTTGGAAGGTCAAAGTAATTTTTCTTTTTCCAGACTCCTCAGGGCACAGGCACTGGCTCCTCGAGACCACAAATCTCCTCATTGTTATTGAGTTAATTGGAAGTGTGTGTCTGTCATTTTACTCTTTATCCAATCCCAGAGGTCCACCCACTCCCCTTTGCTTTCTCCCGCCTCCCTAATCTATCACCCATGGATTTCAGGTAACTCACATCTCCTCCTGTGATTGTAATTTATAAAAATAGGTGGAAAACCACCATTCTCCGGAGCATTGTCCCAATCCATTGAGATCCTGCTTCCTGCCAGTTGTCCACAGTTTGGATCAAATAAACGCACAGAAATTCTTTACAGGTTTGAATGTTTTTTTACGTTAACATGGTCATGTGAATATGGGGTGTGGCTGCGCCAGCAGGAGGGAGTGATCATGTGACTGTGTGGGCGTGGCCACATGAACAGCTGGAAGTGGGCACAGGAACAGGGGGCGGGGCCGCGTGGACACAGACAGAGCCCCATGTAGGACACAGTGATGGGCCTGACCGTGTTCCAGTCCGATAGCAGGCAGCTGTCTCTAGAACCAGGGGATACACCAGGCTTCCCCTGGAGAAAAGCCT